CTATTTCTTATTGTTTTAGAATAAAACTAAAAATAAACTTTTCTTTTAGTGTCGTCGAAGAAATTAAATTTACAGTTTCCTGTAAATTACGGTTCTATAACTAAAAATTAAAAAAAACATATTTCGAATATTTGAAAAAATATATTTGTTGAACTGTTTAATTTATATATGTTTTACACAAAAATTGGAATAGATTGCATTATTTCACATTTTTTATTACGATTTAATATTATTTTTAAATGACTTAATAAATTATCGATAGATGGCGCTCATATGCATCATAGCAACATTTGTTTGTATTCAAAAATTTTCTGAAGTGTCACTTTAAAAATCCTGTTTTTAAGATTAATTACGAAAATTTTGACATGTTAGAATGTTACATATTAAGAAATTATTTGTTTTTAAATACCAGAAGTTATCTTCGTATTTAATTGTTAACTTTTTAGATTTTACCTACCGCCCCGTAACTTACAGGAAACTGTAAATTTAATTTCCTCGACGACACTAGATGGAAATTTTATAAAAAAACTTTATTTTTAGCTTTATTCTAAAACGATAAGAAATAGACCTATCTAACCTCATATTTTTGTAATCAGAAAAAAATAACGAATTTAATAAGCGAATAAAAACGAAAATTCTCATGATATCTCAAAATCTAAAACTTCTGCAATCTTCCACGTATCAGGTACGTGTTAGTTTTAAGACTGTCAAATTTTTTTGGTATTAATTTTTCTATTATTTATTTCTCCATTATTCGTTCTTGGCATTCTTCTGCACTAATTTTAATTTTACTTCGTGCATACATGTTATTGTACCATTAATTGTATTTTTTTCATCAAAATCAGTTCCATATACAAATCGCGTATTTAATACGAATAGTGTGATATTGGTTGCATACTTGCAATAATGACGTCGGGTTCGGGTACGATAATTAATTAACACACTATATAATACATATACATATCAATATATTATTGTATACGAATTTTAATAATTATTGCAAAATTTAGGATAATTATCGTACTTATTAATTACAATATTGTATTAATTACAATATTCGTAGGTTAGAAAATTTGACAACTGTCACTTGACACTTGACATAAGATGTGTGAAGTGAGTTCTCACAAAATCACCTAACTTCGCATCAATGAATTAATGAAATATTTAAACAATTAGATAAAAATGAAGCAATACTTACATTAACGTTCATATTTTGAATTAATTGAATTAAAACATCGATTTCGACCCTTCCAAAAGCGTCGGATACATCCACTGTTACAAAATATATTTTTTTATCTCCAATTTTACGCAAATAATCCAACCAAGGTTGATAAAATTGTCCCGTTTGAGTTCCAGATAAATTAGAGGCGTAATTTTTTAAATATAAACAATATTTTCGAACGACATCCCATGGTCTTAAATAAAATTATTAATTAACCTTCAAAATTTAATTACACTTAATGTTATTAACCGTTTTTTAGTCATCTTTATAATGGGTCGAAATTTTAAATCATTTAATTCACGTTTTGGTAAAAATCGAACAACCCCTTTAATTTCCGTTTTATTAACATCATCAAAATTTATTGGAATTGCATACTTTTTCTTCAAAATTACATTTATAACCTATAAAACAATTCATTAATTAACTTATTTTTAATTTGAAATTGAATTACCCTTTTTTTGAAACGTTTATAAATCGAATGTGGGACTAAATCTGTTCTAAATGGATAAATACGGTGAGGAAGGAAATAAAATCGTTTCCGTATTAGATATTTAACAGCGTCCAAACTCCAAATGAGAGGCTAATAATTAATTTGGTGAAATTAAAAGTGATTATGTCGGTTAATACTTACGAAATATAAATAATTAATGTGTTGTTTTTGGTTAAAACCTTTCAACCAAGGTATTTCGTTGAAATTGTAATTCCTGATTATGTCTCTAACGAAAATGTGCTCATTTCTAGACTGGGAAAGGATTTTTTTAACAATTTTCAAATACAATTTGTAATGGTGAGATGTTCCAAGAAATTCTTTTGGAATTATATTCCTAATCGTTTCAAATATATCAATTGTTTGGTGATTTTTCGAAGCTATCATGGTTAATTTATGAATTTTTCTCATTAATTCGTTAACATACTGCAACTATAAAACATATTTTTATAAATTAATATTAATAAAGTTAAAAAAATACCTTTTTTCCTTTATAACCGGCTCGATAAAAATTCTTCAATCTCCCTTTTAATGGCATATTTAACGCATATAAAGTATTTGGATCACATTTAGGTATCGGCTATTATAAATAATTTAAAAACATTAAACATAATTTGTTTAAAAGTTAAATCAATGAATTTACTTACTATTTCATGGTTAAAAATGCATTGGAATTTACTCAATTCGTTGTTTGTATGAAATATTCTCCATTCCCTTTTATTTAAACGGGATTTATTCTGCATTATTAATCTTGTACGTGTTAGTTTTAAGACTGTCAAATTTTTTTGGTATTAATTTTTCTATTATTTATTTCTCCATTATTCGTTCTTGGCATTCTTCTGCACTAATTTTAATTTTATTGTTAGCTCTAGTTATAATTCAATAGAAATAAACAACAATCTAGCACAATAACAATTAAAACTAAAACTAACACTAGACCTAGAACTAAAAAGACTTAACCTAAGACTTTTTATACCTTTAAGAGAATGCAATAAAAATCGATTATGTAAAAATTTGTTTATTTCTCAATAAATTTAGCTAAAAAGTTTGAAAATGTTTCCTTGAATGACCCCTAATTGGCCTTGACCTAGTTAAAATGAAAATTTTTCTCGAAACTTTGAGGATATCACCTTGAGTTCACCTTGAACGACTTCTAAATGACATTGACGAAGGTAAAAGTGAAAATTTTTCTCGAAATTTTAAGGATGTCTCCTTGAGTTCACCTTGAATGACCTCTAATTGACCTTGACCTAGTTAAAATGAAAAATTTTCTCGAAACTTTGAGAATATCACCTTGAGTTCACCTTGAATGACCTCTAATTGGACCTAGTTAAAATGAAAAATTTTCTCGAAACTTTGAGAATATCACCTTGAGTTCACCTTGAATGACCTCTAATTGACCTTGACCTAGTTAAAATCAAAAATTTTCTCGAAAGTTTGAGAATATCACCTTGAATGACCTCTAAATGACATTGATGAAGGTAAAAGTGAAAATTAAAATCGAAACTTTGAGGAGATAAATTAAAATGCCAGGAGTAATTTGGCGGGAAATATGAATACGAAACATGTATTTATCATCTTTTTTCGACAATATATTCTTAATTAATAATAATTAGAGTTAATTTAAATGTAAAATTAATTGTTTATTAGGTGGAAGAAATAAAAATCGTTTTTTTTTGCAACAATTTATTAATTTTTTATTATTACAAATTAGCACTTGTACAGATTTCTATTTTACCGACATATTTTACAGTTTCCTGTAATCGGTACTGTCAAAATAGTAAATTGTTAATAATAATAATTTAAATATGTAATAAGAAACATAGAGAAGACAAACCTGAATTTAGATAAATGTAAAAATGAGATTAATAATTGTTTTAATCACTCTCATCAGTGTCAAAATCCTTACAATCTGTATGTCACTTCCTCCAGCAATCATTAAGTAAGATAACCTAAAATAAATTAAAAAAATGTTTAGTTTTTTTGTAGACAACGAAACCACCTCAATTAAATCATCAATTCCAGTTAAAAAAATCATAAAAGATGATATTTTAATAAGTATGTAAGGTTATGTTTTATTCTAAAAGATATTGCTTTAATGATTACCTAAAAACCACTACAATGTTGGGTTTAAATCTAAATATCATGATCAATTTGCAAAATTAAACTGAAAAAGTGTTTAATTCACCATCACATACAAATAGAAACCAACTAAATTTGTTTTACACTGCATAGAATGGCTTTATATGGCACAAAATTAATATCGTTACATAAATAGTGAAGATTAAATTTTAACCGAAAAAGATTCGTTAGATAAGTCCTAAAAGATATGTTAATCGCTAAAATCAACATCAAAACATTCAAAACAATATATAATTACAAAAAGTGAGGTTAAACACAATTTTTGACAAATCTATTCGTTGACACTAATTACCAACCTTAAAATGACAAATTGAATAAAATTATTTATTTCGCACCTTTTAACCCACTCTAATTTGTTTATTGTAGCAAATTATTGCTTTTTTAAGACGAAAAGAAAGTTGAAAAAAAAAATGGTGAAGACTACCTTGCAATGCTTATGTTGGTATTGAATTAAAATTAAATCCCTAAAAATTTGAATTAATTAATTACATCAATTCTTTTTTCGTTAATTATCATTACAAAGCAAATTAATGATAGAGATGAGTTCAAAAACTTGCATATTTATAAAATTAACAAAGAAATTTTTTGTTTCGTTAAAAAAATTGGTAAAAAATAGTGAAATTTGTTATGTTTGGGTTGGTATTGAAAAAAGAAATGGAGGTTATGTTGACATGGTTAATTTTATCTTAAAAATTGGAAAAACTTACCGATTATTTAATAACACATCATAAAAATGGTATTATTAATACAAAAAGAGATGAAGAAAACGAAGAAATTTAATTAAAATAAAAATTAAATAACTTTTTTTAAGGTTATACATAATTTTATGAAATTATTCGAAAAAAACTCTTCATTGAGTTAAAGAATTCGAGTCTACCATATCAAAATGTTTATCTAATAAAGATTTGGAATTGTTTTTATAAATTGTAGGTAATTTATTATAATTTGTAAAAATAATTAATTTTATAGGTTATGTTTTAGGAGCTGTCAAAAAATATTTGGAATTTAACCCAATTTTTATCAAAAAAATTTAGTTGGAGCGCCAAAAGCTTGTTTAAATCAAAATAAAGCTGGTAAAAATTAGATATTGGTGAAATTAATGGAATTATTTCATTCTAAGAAAGCATGAGAGGTCATCTCATTACGATTAATATAGGCACTCGAAGTATGTTTTTAAGAAGTTTTGATTTAGTTTTTATCTTCAGAGATTATATCAATATTAAATAATTAATCTTACCTTTACATTAAAGTCATATTTGAGTTTTAAATCAACTCATTTGTCTCAAAATTAGCCCAAAACAGCGATGTTATCATCAGAAAGAAATTTATTCTGTAAATAACTATAATATTAGTACATTAAATACAGTTGTTTATGATCTTACCTTGTGTAGAAAATATTTATCCCCATGAATTTGATTCATTTTAGTTTAAATAAGCGTCTTCAGTCGGAGCATCGTTCAGTGAAGTTGAGTTTCTCAATCATCAAATCGTAGTCGATAGAGAATAAGCAGGAAGAGAAAAACTTACGATTTATAACTCCTAAAAGATATGTTAATCGTTTAAATCAATTTCACTCTTTATTTTTGTTTAATTTACCACAATTTTTATTAATTACAAAAAGTGAGGTTAAACACAACAAGTTTTGACAATCTATTTGACCGCCATGAGTACCAACCTCAAAGTGGCAAATTGAGAGGTTATTAAATTCGTTTAAAAAATTTATCTATTCGTTAAAATAAAACGATTTTTGTTGCGTTACACACGGAAAGAATCAAAATTATTTATTTAACCGCTTTTGTATCATTTAAACTTGTTTATTTTAAAAAATTGTTTATCTTTTAAAGCGAAAAATGGTTGGTAATTGAAAGAATTAAATCAATAATAATTAGATTTTAATTTTTAATAACAATTTTAATTAAAATTAGGTTTAATTTACGCCTTTTTTTTAGATCATTTCTAATTTAATTATTAATATTTAAAGACAACGCTAGAACATAATATTAATACAGCTAGTTACCAAAAGATGGCGCTAGTGTGAAATTTTTTTGTCACACGTTTTAAATAATGTAAATAATGTTTAATTAATTTTGTAAGCTAATTATTGAAATATTAGACAATGCGTAAGTTTAAAATCTTAAATAAAAACATAAAATATTAATAAGATAAAATTTCTAATTTTTTTTTTATTTGTTAGCTTATGCTTCCCCCCGAAATTTAAAACGCTGCAAATTAAACGTAAATAATTTATTAGATTAACTTTGATTATAATTAGTGATTATTGCATCTCGAAATTTTTAAAAATTAATTTGGATTTAAAAACAAACATAACCTCAATTTTTTAAATTTGCTAAAACGAAAAATAATCATTTTCAAAACTTATACGTTTATTTTTGGTGTATTTTTCTCAAAATATAAACAAAAATATAATGATTTTGATTCATTTTGGTTTAAATTACCTTTAAATTCCGTCTTCAGTCACCACTTAATTATTTCTTCAAATTTAGCGAACTAAAAGTTATCAGAGTCACAAAAAAAAAACTGCCAGAATGTTTTTACATAAATTTGGACGAATTTTATGTGTCTCGCACAATCTTTATATTTAGAGATAATTATTAATTACAAAAAGTAAGGTTAAGCACAACGAATTTTGACAACTCTATTTGTTCATACTTCACCGCCATGAGTACCAACCTCAAAAAGATAAATTGAAAGGTGATTGTGTCATTACAAAAAATGTTTATTATTAAAGTGGGTGCCAAAATGTATTTATTCCTTAAAATAAAAGGATTTTTGTTGCGTTAACACGCGGAAAGAATTAAAATTATTTATTTTTGTATTATTTAAACTTGTTTATTGTAAAAAATTATTGCTTTTTTAAAGCGAAAAATGGTTGGTAATGGAAAAAAAATTAAATCACCAATTGGATTTTATCGGAATAAAATTAAAAAGGTAATAATATAATAAATATTAATACTTACTAGAATTGTTATTATAGCCTATCAACAATATCAAATGTTTATATTTATTTAAATATTAATACAGCTAGTTATCAAAAGATGGCGCTAGCTTTGGTAACATTTAGTTAGGACATTTAATTATTTAATTTTGTAAGTAGAATTAGTATTAATTAACTAAATATTAGATGATCTAACCTCATTATTGTTTTTATAACCTCAAATTTATTTTTTTTTAAATAACCTTGATCAAATTCTTCATAATCCAACCTAAATAGGATTATATGCAACTCAGTTTGTAACAAATAATGTGCTTAGAGTAATATAGAATAGAATAAGTTTAAACCAACCTTAGTTTTAAGCCAGTTCAAATAAAGGATTAGTTGAGCTTAAAAATACAGAGTTAAACACAATTTTAACCCTTTCCTGGACCATATTAACCAAATCACAACACTTTATCGCATTTAAAATCATCTCGTTATTTAATAAATAATTCTTTTGAATCAAGAACTCTTCCACTTAAATAATTAGACCAATTAGACGTGCAAAATTTTTTTAGGTTATGTATCTAACCTGAAATTAGATAGAAATCATAAAAATCACTTTAATAAAGATAATTTTAAATCAAAAATTGTTAAATTACAAATTAAAAAGTCATTTAGGCGCTAATANTCTTACCTTTACATTAAAGTCATATTTGAGTTTTAAATCAACTCATTTGTCTCAAAATTAGCCCAAAACAGCGATGTTATCATCAGAAAGAAATTTATTCTGTAAATAACTATAATATTAGTACATTAAATACAGTTGTTTATGATCTTACCTTGTGTAGAAAATATTTATCCCCATGAATTTGATTCATTTTAGTTTAAATAAGCGTCTTCAGTCGGAGCATCGTTCAGTGAAGTTGAGTTTCTCAATCATCAAATCGTAGTCGATAGAGAATAAGCAGGAAGAGAAAAACTTACGATTTATAACTCCTAAAAGATATGTTAATCGTTTAAATCAATTTCACTCTTTATTTTTGTTTAATTTACCACAATTTTTATTAATTACAAAAAGTGAGGTTAAACACAACAAGTTTTGACAATCTATTTGACCGCCATGAGTACCAACCTCAAAGTGGCAAATTGAGAGGTTATTAAATTCGTTTAAAAAATTTATCTATTCGTTAAAATAAAACGATTTTTGTTGCGTTACACACGGAAAGAATCAAAATTATTTATTTCACCGCTTTTGTACCATTTAAACTTGTTTGTTGTAAAAAATTATTACATTTTTTTAAAACGAAAAGTAGTTGGTAAGGGAAAAAAATTAAATCATTAATAATTGGATTTTAATTTTTAATAACAATTTTGATTAAAATTTCGTTTAATTTACGCCTGATTTTCAAGTTATTTCTAATTTAATCTAATTTAATCAAAAATATACTGAAAGATGAAGCTATCAAAAGATGGCGCTACTGTAAAATTTTTGGTTATGTGCACGTCTTAAATAATTTAAAAAAAGGTTTAATTAATTTTGTAAGCAGAATTAGTATTAATTAATGAAATATTAGACGATTCGTAAGTTTAAAATCTTAAATAAAATCTAATTTATAATTATAAAATATTAATAAGATAAAAGTTCAATTTTTAAATTAATTTGATTACTTGACGCGCCATCTGTACATAAAGAAACGTACCAATAAGAAAGTGGGTAATAAAGCAATTTTTAACCCGTTTTAATTAATTACTAACCATAAAGTATTTTTTATAAGTAATTATATTCTAATTAATTTACTAATTATGGTGTTTCCGAAAAAATAATTCCCAACCTAACTTCATTATTATTTTCATAACCTCAAATTTATTTTTTTTTAAATAACCTTGATCAAATTCTTCATAATCCACCCCAAATAGGATTAAATGCAACTCAGTTTGTAACAAATAATGTGCTTAGAGTAATATAGAATAGAATAAGTTTAAACCAACCTTAGATTTAAACTAGTCCAAATAAAGGATTAGTTGAGCTTAAAAATTCAGGGTTAAACACAATTTTAACCCTTTCCTGGACCATATTAACCAAATCACAACACTTTATCGTATTTAAAATCATCTCATTATTTAATAAATAATTCTTTTGAATCAAGAACTCTTCCAATTAAATAATTTAACAAATTAGATGTGCAAAATTTTCTTAGGTTATGTATCTAACCTGAAATTAGATATAAATCATAAAAATCACTTTAATAAAGATAATTTTAAATCAAAAATTGTTAAATTAGAAATTAAAAAGTCATTTAGGCGCTAATACATTGAAATTAAGATAAAATTTCAATTTTTAAATGTCGAAATTAATTTGATTACTTGACGCGCCATCTATACATGAAAAAACGTACCAATAAGAAAGTGGGTAATAAAGCAATTTTTAACCCGTTTTAATCAATTATTAACCTAAAAGTACTTTTTATAAGTAATTATATTCTAATTAATTTACTAATTATGCTGTTTCCGAAAAAATAATTCCCAACCTAACCTCATTATTGTTGTCATAACCACAGAATAAAATCGTTCTAATGATATTGAGATTAAATAATTAATCTTACCTTTACAATAAAGTCATATTTGAGTTTTAAATTTGTGTAGAAAATATTTGTATTGCATAATTAAAATAAACTTATTTATTATTTCCCCATGATTTTGATTCATTTTGGTTTAAATAACCTTTAAATTCCTTTTTTAAGTAAGCACTTAATTCTTTCTTGAAATTTTGCAAACTAAAAGTTACAAAATAAAACGTCGAGATGGAATTATGATTTTAATGATGCGATTTAGAAGATTAGAGGTTAATTAGTGAACCAATTTCTTCACAAATTCACATTTAAACGGTGAGTTTCTCGATCATCAAATCATAGTTGATGGAGATTAAACAGCAAGAAATTTAAATAAAACTTACGATTTATGACTCCTAAAAGATATGTTAATCGTTTAAATCAATTTCACTCTTTATTTTTGTTTAATTTACCACAATTTTTATTAATTACTAAAAGTGAGGTTAAACACAACAAGTTTTGACAATCTATTTAACCGGCATTAGTACCAACCTAAAAGGGACAAATTTATTTTAAAAAATTATTTCATTTTTTAATAAAGCGATAAATTAAATCAATAATTGGATTTTAATTAATTAAAATTAAGTTTAATTTATGTCTTTTTTAGATTATTTCTAATTTAATTATTAAAAAGGCTGGATTGGATTATAATATTAACACAAGATGGCGCTAGTGCGAAATTTTTGGTTATGTCACACGTCTTAATTAATTAATTTGATTAATTTTGATTATAATTAGTGATTATTCGAGGATTAAAATTAATTTGGTTGCTTTTTTCAAAACTTATACGTTTATTTTTGGTGTATTTTCCTCAAAATATAAACAAAAATACAATAGAAATAAACCTTAAAAAATATTATTAATTATTAATTCATTTCCTGCATAAAAAGATTCTTCTTTAACCCCTAGTTAATTTCCTCTGCGAAATAAAAAAGGTTAAAAATTAATTTAATTTGTATAAAACAAACTTACTTTAGAAGCTGGCTTCTTTTTTGTGTCAACAACTCGGCATTCGTTAACCCCCGTCATGCGATATTCGGTTTCTCTCGTGCATTTACAATCTAAGTGTTGTTCTTCTGATAACATACTTTCCGCAATATTATAAGCAGCTACTTTCTCGTAGAATTTCTTGTTGGGTTTCGTCGCAGAGGCGAAATTCTCCAAAACGAACACGTTTCCACCAGCCATAGCGGCAAATTCGCTACAAAAATCGTTATAACTCACTTCTTTAAGCAAATCGGAGTTTCCAACAGGATTCTTTTTACAATCCGGAACGGTTAAAACATAATTCTTATTAAAACCAATCACCCCCTTAGTCGTTTTATCGTCTTTAACTTTAAAGTTAGCCCCCGTCATAGGTGTGAAAATGTTCAAACTCACTTCGGGGTTATACAAGAATAAAGCGCGTAATTTTTGGGCCCAAATCAACGTTCCAGTTTCGCAAGGAGAAGTAGTTACTGCAATAATCGTTTTGGCAGCGTGAACTCGGAATGGATATTCGATAGCTTGGTCGTAGGCGTATTCTTGGGGGGTTTCCCCAAGGGCTATTTTTAAATCTCTCCAATAATTCGAAATTATCGAAATTAAAAAGTCGATTTGTTTAATTCCCGTTTCGATGTCATCTTCGTCGTGTTTTTCGGTGAATTTTAAGTTGGGGAATTTCCCTTTAAACGTCATTTTACCCCCGTTTGTTGTAACATGGGATGGATATTTGGGTTGGTCTCCTCCATATGTGATGATGTGGTACTCGACGTCTTTAACTCCGCGGTCTGAGAGTTCTTTTTTAAGCGATTCTCCTAAAGGTGTCACTAAATCGGAATAAATTTCTTTGTTTTCTTCGCTCACGTCGATTACGAATACGATATCGGCCGCTTTTTGGGGTGTCTTAACGCTGAATGTGTCCCCTAAGTTGAATGGTTTATCGGAATTTGTGCATTTAATGAATTCTTTCGGTAAGAAAGTTGGGATGTATCTCGTTGCGCAAGTTGCGGAGTACGCCATAGCGATCGCTTCTAAAGTATTTGGAACTTTGGCGGCTAACCCATGGTCGCAAGCTTGTTTAAACAAATGTGGGTGAACGAATCCATAACAAGGCGCTAACGTTGAAGTAGCCCCAAATAATTTAGTGCATTCTTCGTCGTGAACATGACCGGTATGATCAACAGTTTTAATCGCGGGGCATTCGGTTTGGATTTTATAACTGTTTCCGAATTCGCTTTCTGATTCGACAACTTTTCCACTTGGCAAAATAAAATCGTCGTATTTCTCAAAATTGGGGTTTCCCAAAAGACCTCTTAACCGATTATGATAAAATCCTGACACGGAGAAGACGCACAACGATAAATCTGAAGTACACATAATTCGAACTCCCGCTTTTGAATTCATCTCAACGTGGGTGTAAAGTCGATAAACGTCGGTGATTTTCGTGCGGATTGGAAGCTCCGTTGCGGCTCCATTTAAAGTTGAAACGCCCGATTTTTTGATGGTGAATGTATCAGTTTTGTCGAAGAAGGTTAATTCGGTCATGATTCCGTTGGTGTAAGTGCCGGAAATTGAGAATTTTCCGTCGATATCGCTTGCAAGCATGTAATTGCATTTTCCAGGGAATGTTAAGTGTTTGCCGTCGAAGGTGAAGATGTGTTGACCTTGAGCGGTGATTGCGTATCTTCTATATGGGGGAATCCACGATAACGGATTTAAAGTAAAGTCCATAATGATTTCGTCGAGTTTAACGTTATCTTGGCTTAAAATCCTGTTGAGCCAAGACATCCTAAACGCAACCAATTTTGGTAAGAAACTGATTATGCGTGCTGGTAAAGGCATGGTCATTTTGGGTGTGGGTTCTTTCCATCCTTCGGATTTAGCCATCTCTTTGATGGTTTCAACGATCATTTTTATGATGTGTTCGAGCGTTTCTAAATCGTTCACGTCTTGGCGTTTCATTTTTTTGACGAGGTAATTTGTTATGTAATCGACGAGCTCTTGGAATGGTGGGAGAGGGATTTGATTCTTTATTTCGGCTGCGATGGCTTGGAATTGGTCGATGTATTGTTGAGGAACTGGTTCACCAGATTTTATCTAAAACAAATAGGGTTTAAATTAATAAATTTGTTTGGTCATTTCTCTTTACTGGGTAAGAGAATAAAGATATCAATTTCCTCAGGTTGAGAGAATACAACTTCACTATGCCCGAATAGTCGGACATAACATAATTTTTTGGATTAGTCGAATGAAGTCGTATTTGTTTATCAATGAGAATCAATTCGGAAAATTTTTTTTAGTTATAAGGTGTTCTCTTTTTAACATAAATGGATAGAAAATTAAAAATCCTTTAAAATGAGCCCAAACTTGACCTATTTATCTCCAACAGTTATCGAGATATCTTAACTTTTAGAACAAAAAAAAAAAAAACAAAAATGGCGATCATTTGACAGTTTCTAACCTAACTTTAACATAAATGGATAAAAAATTAAAAATCCTTTAAAATGAACCCAAACTCGACGTATTTATCATCAACCATTATCGAGATATCTTAATTTTTAATTTAAAAAATGGCGATTATTTGACATTTGACAGTTTATAACCTAACTTTTCTATTTATTAACCCAAATATGTCATGTTTGGTATCAAATGAGAGCATTTTTGATTCTTATTAAGAGCATCTTAATCTTTATATAAAATCATTATATTTAATTTTGACATTTGACAGTTTATAACCTAACTTTTCTATTTATTAACCCAAATATATCATGTTTGGTATCAAATTAGAGCATTTTTGATTCTTGTTAAGAACATCTTAATCTTTATATAAAATCGTTATACTTAATTTTGACATTTGACAGTTTATAACCTAACTTTTTTATTTTTTACCCTAAATATATCGTGTTTGGTATCAAACTAAAGCATTTTTGATTCTTATCAAGATCATTTCAAGATTTATCAAACAATCGTTACATTTATTTTTGACATTTGACAGTTTCTAACTTTAACTTTTTTATTTATTAACCCAACTATATCAAGTTTGGTATCAAATAAAAGTATTTTTGATTCTTATTAACATCACTTTATATTTATCAAAAAATCGTTATATTTAATTTTGACATTTGACAGTTTCTAACCTAACTTTTTTATTTATTAAGCCAAATATATCATGTTTGGTATCAAAGGAGAGCATTTTTGATTCTTATTAAGATCATTTCACTATTTATCAAAAAATCGTTACATTTAATTTTGACATTTAACAGTTTCTAACCTAACTTTAACATAAATGGATAAGAAATTAAAAATCCTTTAAAATGAACCCAAACTCGACCTATTTATCTTCAACCGTTATCGAGATATCTTAATTTTTAATTAAAAAAATGGCGATTATTTGACATTTGACAGTTTATAACCTAACTTTTCTATTTATTAACCCAAATATGTCATGTTTGGTATCAAATGAGAGCATTTTTGATTCTTATTAAGAGCATCTTAATCTTTATATAAAATCATTATATTTAATTTTGACATTTGACAGTTTATAACCTAACTTTTCTATTTATTAACCCAAATATATCATGTTTGGTATCAAATGAAAGCATTTTTGATTCTAATTAAGATCATTATAATATTTATCAAAAAATCGTTATATTTAATTTTGACATTTGACAGTTTCTAACCTAACTTTAACATAAATGGATAGAAAATTAAAAATCCTTTAAAATGAATCCAAACTTAACCAATTTAATTCCAACCGTTCAGGAGATATCTCATTTTTTAACAAAAAAAAATGGCGATTATTTGACATTTGACAGTTATAACCTCAAAACCTAAAACTTTTTTATTTATTAACGCAAATATATCATGTTTGGTATCAAATGAGAGAATTCTTGATTCTTATTATGATTATTTCAATATTTATCACAAATTCGTTATAAATTTTTTGACATTTGACAATTACTAACCTAACTTTTCTATTTATTAACCCAACTATATCAAGTTTGGTATCATTTTTGATTCGTATTAGCATCATTTAATATTATCAAAAAATTCTTGTATTTAATTTTGAGATTTGACAGTTTCTAACCTAACTTTTTTATTTTTTAACTCAAATATATCGTGTTTTCTAACCTACCTCTAGCTAACTGCATAGAAAATCAAAAATCCTTTAAAATGAAGCCAAACTCGACCTATTTATCTCCAATCGTTTTCGAGATATCTTAATTTTTGACAAAAAAAATGGCGATTATTTGACATTTGACAATTATAACCTAACTTTTGTATTTTTTAACCTAAATATATCGTATTTGGTATCAAATGAAAGCATTTTTAATTCTTATCAATATCATTTCAATATTTATCAAAAACTCGTTTTATTTAATTTTGACATTTGACAGTTTATAACCTAACTTTTTTTATTTTTTAACTCAAATATATCATGTTTAGTATCAAATGAAAGCATTTTTAATTCTTATCAATATCATTTTAATATTTATCAAAAACTCGTTTTATTTAATTTTGACATTTGACAGTTTATAACCTAACCTTTTTATTTTTTCACTAAAATATATCATGTTTAGTATCAAATTAAAGCATTTTTAATTCTTATTAAGATCTTTTTAATATTTATCAAAAAATCGTTATATTTAATTTTGACATTTGACAGTTCCTAACCTAACTTTAACATAAATGGATAGAAAATTAAAAATCCTTTAAAATGAACCCAAACTTAACCAATTTAATTCCAACCGTTCAGGAGATATATCCCTTTTAAGAAAAAAAAAAATGGCGATTATTTGAAAGTTATAACCTCAAAATCTAAAACTTCTTTATTTATTAACGCAAATATATCATGTTTGGTATCAAATGAGACAATTTTTGATTCTTATTATGATTATTTCAATATTTATCACAAATTCGTTATAAATATTTTGACATTTGACAATTACTAACCTAACTTTTTTATTTATTAACCCAATAATATCAAGTTTGGTATTTAATATTTATCAAAAAAATCCTTGTATTTAATTTTGACAGTTTCTAACCTAACTTTTTTATTTTTTAACCCAAATATATCGTATTTTCGAACCTAACTTTAACTAACTGCATAGCAAATCAAAAATCCTTTAAAATGAAGCCAAACTCGATCTATTTATCTCCAACCGTTGTCGAGATATTTTAATTTTTGACAAAAAAAATGGCGATTATTTGACATTTGACAGTTATAACCTAACTTTTCTATTTTTTAACCCAAATATATCGTATTTGGTATCAAATGAAAGCATTTTTAATTCTTATCAATATCATTTTAATATAATCAAAAACTCGTTTTATTTAATTTTGACATTTGACATTTTAGAACCTAACCTTTTTATTTCTTAACTCAAATATATCATGTTTAGTATCAAATGAAAGCATTTTTAATTCTTATTAAGATCATCCCACTATTTATCAAAAAATCGTTACATATAATTTTGACATTTGACAGTTTCTAACCTAACTTTTTTATTTTTTAACTCAAATATATCGTGTTTTCTAACCTAACTTTAACTAACTGCATAGAAAATGAAAAATCTTTTAAAGTGAAGTCAAACTCGACAGATTTATCTCCAGCCGTTATTGAGATATCTTAATTTTTGACCAAAAAGAAATGGCGATTATTTGACATTTGACAATTATAACCTAACTTTTCTATTTTTTAACTCAAATATATCGTATTTAGTATCAAACGAAAGCATTTTTAATTCTTATCAATATTTATCAAAAACTCGTTTTATTTAATTTTGACATTTGACAGTTTATAACCTAACTTTTTTATTTTTTAACTCAAATATATCATGTTTAGTATCAAATGAAAGCATTTTTCATTCTTATTAAGATCATCTCACTATTTATCAAAAAATCGTTCCATATAATTTTGACATTTGACAGTTTCTAAGCTAACTTTTTTATTTTTTAACCCAAATATATCGTGTTTTCTAACCTAAGTTTAACTAACTGCATAGAAAATCAAAAATCCTTTAAAATGAAGCCAAACTCGACCTATTTATCTCCAACCGTTATCGAGATATCTTAATTTTTGACATAAAAAAATGGCGATTATTTGACATTTGACAGTTATAACCAAACTTTTCTATTTTTTAACCCAAATTATCGTATCAATATCATTTCAATATTTATCAAAAACTCGTTTTATTTAATTTTGACATTTGACAGTTTATAACCTAACTAACATAAATGGATAGAAAATTAAAAATCCTTTAAAATGAAGCCAAACTCGACCTATTTATCTCCAACCGTTAAGAAAATATGTCACTTTTTAACAAAAAAAAAATGGTGATTATTTGACATTTGACAGTTACAACCTCAAAACCTAAAACTTTTTTATTTATTAACCCAAATATATCATATTTAATATCAAACGGAAGCATTTTTGATTCTTATTGAGATCATTTCAATATTTATCAAAAAATCGTTGTATTTAATTTTGACAGTTGACAGTTTCCAACCGAAGTTCTTTATTTTTTTAATCTAAATATATCGTGTTTGGTATCAAATTAAAGCATTTTTGATTCTTATCAAGATCATTTCAATATTTATAAAAAATTCGTTATATTTAATTTTGACATTTGATAGTTTCTAACCTAACTTTAACATAAATGGATAGAAAATTAAAAATCCTTTAAAATGAAGCCAAACTCAACCTATTTATCTCCAACCGTTAAGGAGATATCTCACTTTTTAACAAAAAAAAAAGCTGATTATTTGACATTTGACAGTTACAACCTTAAAACCTAAAACTTTTTTATATATTAACCCAAATATATCATGCTTGATATCAAACGGAAACATTTTTGATTCTTATTGAGAAATTGTTATTTCAATATTTCAATATTTGTCAAAAAATCGTTATATTTGATTTTGACAGTTGACAGTTTCCAACCTAACTTTTTTATTTTTTAACCTAAATATATCGTGTTTGCTATCAAATGAAAGCATTTTTAATTCTTATCAAGATTATTTCAATATTTATCAAAAATTCGTTATATTTAATTTTGACATTTGACAGTTTCTAACCTAACTTTTATATTTTCTAACCCAAATATATCGTGTTTGATATCAAATTAAAGCATTTTTGATTTTTATCAAGATTATTACAATATTTATCAAAAATTCGTTATATTTAACTTTGACATTTGACAGTTTATAACCTAACTTTTTTATTTTCTAACCCAAATATATCATGTTTGGTATCAAATTAAAGCATTTTTGATTCGTATCAAGATCATTTCAATATTTATCAAAAATTCGTTATATTTAACTTTGACATTTGACAGTTTATAACCTAACTTTTTTATTTTCTAACCCAAATATATCATGTTTGATATCAAATTAAAGCATTTTTGATTCGTATCAAGATCATTTCAATATTTATCAAAAATTCGTTATATTTAACTTTGACATTTGACAGTTTCTAACCTAACTTTCTTATTTTCTAACCCAAATATATCATGTTTGGTATCAAATTAAAGCATTTTTGATTTTTATCAAGATTATTACAATATTTATCAAAAATTCGTTATATTTAACTTTGACATTTGACAGTTTATAACCTAACTTTTTTATTTTCTAACCCAAATATATCATGTTTGATATCAAATTAAAGCATTTTTGATTCGTATCAAGATCATTTCAATATTTATCAAAAATTCGTTATATTTAACTTTGACATTTGACAGTTTCTAACCTAACTTTCTTATTTTCTAACCCAAATATATCGTGTTTGATATCAAATTAAAGCATTTTTGATTTTTATCAAGATTATTACAATATTTATCAAAAATTCGTTATATTTAACTTTGACATTTGACAGTTTATAACCTAACTTTTTCATTTTTTAACCCAAATACATCATGTTTAGTATCAAATGAAAGCATTTTTAATTCTTATCAAGATCATTACAATAGTTATTAAAAAATCGTTAATTTAATTTTGACATTTGACAATTTCTAACCTAACTTTTTTATTTTTTAACCCAAATATATCGTGTTTGGTATCAAATTAAAGCATTTTTGATTCTTATTAAGATTATTTCAATATTTATCAAAAAATCGTTAAAATTAACTCACCTTTTCAATAATCATCTTAATTTGATCATAATAAGGCAGCGCCTTAATCTCCTCCAAGATCCTTTCGCATTCCTTAGTAACAGTTAATTTGATATCTTCAGTAACTTTAACAACGAACCTATTAAGATCTTGCGTGGTCGAACTAATCACACTCGCGATTTGTTTCAATTCCTCCTTATGCGCATCCACGAACGCCGAGATTTGCTCAAACATCCCAAACGCGATTTCGTTGAGTTTTTCCGCAAACTTATACGTCGAATCCGTCAATTTATCCGCGATTTCCTTCAATTTCGGCAAAATCTCTTTCTCGAAACTCTCCGTAATACTTTTAACATACTTTTGAACAATCTCCTCCATACTTTCCGCGAATTTCTTCCCAGTCATCGTCATCGAATTCACAAAATCAATCCAAGCCTTAATAACAGTCGATAAAGCCTCGCTAATTTTCTTCAAAGTCTCATCCGCTTCTAACTCAGTTTTAATCGTATTCAATTCTTTCTCGTAATAATTCAAAATCGGTTTAAGATTGGCTTCGTTTTCTTTGATATTTTTTGAGAGATCGCTGATGAAATTTTTTGAGTCATCAGTGGCTTTTTTGATGGAATTTTTGGAGGTGTCGATTATTTTTTGGGAGGCTTTTTTGGCCGGTTCGACGAAGTGCTCTTTGATGTGTTTCCCTTGGAACCCGTAGTCGGATTTGAGGAAATCTTTCTCGTCCAATTTGATATTCGCGTGGATGAAATCGATTTTTTTCCCGTCTTTGTGGAGGTCGACCCGGAAATCGGCGAGTTGATTCGGAATGAACGCCGAATTCACCTCTAATTTGGGATTTTTCGCCGCGTTGGTTAAATAGAATTTGATCGATTCTAATTTTTTGAGTTCGCAATGGGCTAAGATTTTTTCTAACCCGAGTAATTGGAGGTCTAAGTTGATGTTTTCGCCGTCGGGGTGGGTTTTGCGGTCGATGTTGAGGTCGTAAATGATTTGGTTGTTTATTATTAACGTGTCTATGACTTTGTGTGGTGAAATTAACTCGTGGTAAACATTTTCGGTTTTTTTCCCGTTAATATTAGCACTTAATAAGAATTTACTTTCGGTTAATTTTTCTTCTGGGCTAATTAAATCCAAGGATTCCCCTCGTAACTTTAATTTCAACGGTTGGATGTCGAATTCGAAATTATGTTTCAATTCCATTTTGGAGCCACTTTGAGTTAATAACCCTTTAACGTCGGCGGTTATTTTTTTATCCGAATTGGGGATAACATCGATTGAGGAGTGGATTTCTAATTTATACGGATTTTGGAGATTTAGGCTGCTTTTGTATGACGTCATCATCGGTTTTTTTAAAGCGGGGTGGATTAATTTCGCCTCCATCTCTAAATTGGTTATTTTGTCGCTAAATTCGGGGTTAATTGTGAATGTTAAGGCGGTTTTTTCGTTGGGTTTGGTTTTTTTGTTCAAATAGAATAAAACTTCGCCTTTAATCGGGCCTTTTTCGCCTAATTTCGGGCGATTTAGTTCTGATTGGAGGGAAACGATTCGTCTTGGAGTTGTTAAAGTCCATCCTGCTTTATTTGGGTGCAAATACAACCCATAGCTGTATTTGCTCTTTTGGCTTTGGAAGTGCAAATCGACGGTGTGGTCTAAATCCCAATTTTGCACCTTTGTAATCGCCTTCATCCCGAATTCGTGACTTAACCCTAATTTTCTCAAATCAACATTCATCTCCAAAGTACTCTTATACCCCTCCCCTTCAATCGCGGTCTTCGCGTCCATCTCAATATTGGCGCATTCTTTCTTTTGCTCACAAAATGATAACAAAGCCCTTCGGTGTTTATCAGTTATTTTAATCTCAGAATCTAATCCTTTATCTCCAATCGATCCTTGTAAAGAGAACTCAACCCCTTCTTCATTATCTTTTGCACTTACAAGATTTTTCTTGGTGTATTTAAAATTGCCGGATTTTTTTTCATTTTTAATAGTGAACGTTCCAGAACCTTCCACGATGAATTTGTTGTCTTCTTGGCGAGTTTTGTAAAGCGCGTTTCCGGAAATTAAGTTTTCGTTGGCTTTTTTCATGGTGACTATTAATTTGTTTGAGCCTTTCGTCTCTTTTGTATTCGCGGTGATCACGATTTTGTTCAATTTTAATTGTGGCGAATCGGCCTCGAGTTTTAAGTCGAAATCTTCGATGCTCTCAGCGTGGACGTCGATTTTTCCGGTGAATTCAAACGGAATTTTGTGGAACTTCAAAATTGTTTCAGCCGCGACGGATCGTACTCCAACATTATTAAATTTGGTGTAAACTTTATCGAGATTTCCATCCGGATATTTCACCTCAACAGACAATAAAGGATAATGCTCCGAAATCCCCATACTATTCAAAACCTCGTAATTCTTCCCGTTATAATTAACCTTCCAGTTATCAGAAACGATCTTCGATTCCCTATCATATTTATATTTCATCTCAACATCTAAATTTTTACAAATCTCCCTGCTTGTTTCAAGTTTTCCTTTGGCGTTGACCTCGTCTTTCGAAACAACATCAAAAGTGACGTCGTATTTATCGAAATGCGCTCCGCATTTTAAACTTCCTTTGTAGTTGTATTTTTTGCCGGCTTCCTCGTCGTAACTTAAGTCGATATCAACTGGATCTTTTCCTTTTAAGTTAACGTTGGAGATGATTTTACCTAAAAAGAAATACATCGATTTAAAAAATCGTTTAAAACTCGATGGGGTTATCTCAAAAAATAAAATCAACTTCCGGTTGTCAATGTTAATTTTAATATATTTGCAATCTTTATTAAAAATCCTTTAAAATGAGTACAAACACGATGGGGTTATCTCAAAAAATAAAATCAACTTCCGGTTGTCAATGTTAATTTTAATATATTTGCAATCTTTATTAAAAATCCTTTAAAATGAGTACAAACACGATGGGGTTATCTCAAAAAATAAAATCAACTTCCGGTTGTCAATGTCAATTTTGAAATATTTGCAATCTTTATTAAAAATGCTTTAAAATGAGCCCAAACACGATGGGGTTATCTCAAAAAATAAGCGAGATATTTAAATTTTTAATAAGTAGCTAACTTCATTTTGTAACAAAAAACGTCAATTTTTATTGTATCTTCGTTGTTTATTACGATAAATACGCCGTGTTTGGATTTATTTTAAAGGATTTTTAATGAAGATTAAATATATCTCAAAATTATTTTATAAAATATCCAAAATATGTCAATTTCCGGTTCTCAATGTCAACCCCAATTTTAGAATTTTCTTAATCTTTATTAAAAATCGTTTAAAATGAACCCAAACACGATGGGGTTATCTCAAAAAATAAGCGAGATATTTAATTTTTTAATAAATTGCTAACTTCATCTTGTAACAAAAACGTCAATTTTTATTATATTTGTTGTTTATTAAGATAAATACGCCGTGTTTGGATTTATTTTAAAGGATTTTTAATGAAGATTAAGGATATCTCAAAATTATTTTATAAAATATCTAAAATATGTCAACTTCCGGTTGTCAATGTCAACCTCAATTATAGAATTTTTTTAATCTTTATTAAAAATCGTTTAAAATGAGTCCAAACACGATGGGGTTATCTCAAAAAATAAGCGAGATACTTAAATTTTTAATAAGTAACTAACTTCATCTTGCACCAAAAACGTCAATTTTTATTATATCTTCGTTGTTTATTACTATAAATACGCCGTGTTTGGATTTATTTTAAAGGATTTTTAATGAAGATTAAGTATATCTCAAAATTATTTTATAAAATATCCAAAATATGTCAACTTCCGGTTGTCAATGTCAACCTCAATTATAGAATTTTCTTAATCTTTATTAAAAATCGTTTAAAATGAGTCCAAACACGATGGGGTTATCTCAAAAAATAAGCGAGATATTTAACTTTTTAATAAGTTGCTAACTTCATCTTGTAGCAAAAACGTCAATTTTTATTGTATCTTCGTTGTTTATTAAGATAAATACGCCGTGTTTGGATTTATTTTAAAGGATTTTTAATGAAGATTAAGTATATCTCAAAATTATTTTATAAAATATCCAAAATATGTCAACTTCCGGTTCTCAATGTCAACCCCAATTTTAGAATTTTCTTAATCTTTATTAAAAATCGCTTAAAATGAGTCCAAACACGATGGGGTTATCTCAAAAAATAAGCGAGATATTTAATTTTTAATAAGTTGCTAACTTCATGTTGTAACAAAACAAAAACGTCATTTTTTTTGTATCTACGTTGTTTATTAAGATAAATACGCCGTGTTTGGATTTATTTTAAAGCATTTTTAATGAAAATTAAGGATCTCAAAATTATTTTATAAAATATCCAAAATATGTCAACTTCCGGTTGTAAATGTCAACCTCAATTATAGAATTTTCTTAATCTTTATTAAAAATCCTTTAAAATTAGCCCAAACACGATGGGGTTATCTCAAAAAATAAGCGAGATATTTAAATTTTTAATAAGTTGCTAACTTCATCTTGAACAAAAACGTCAATTTTTATTATATCTTTCTTGTTTATTAAGATAAATACGCCGTGTTTGGATTTATTTTTAAAGATTTTTAATGAAGATGAAGTACATCACAAAATTATCTTATAAAACATCCAAAATATGTCAACTTCCGGTTCTCAATGTCAACCCCAATTATAGAATTTTCTTAATCTTTATTAAAAATCGTTTAAAATGAGCCCAAACACGATGGGGTTATCTCAAAAAATAAGCGAGATATTTAATTTTTTAATAAGTTGCTAACTTCATCTTGTAACAAAAACGTCAATTTTTATTGTATCTTCGTTGTTTATTAAGATAAATACGCCGTGTTTGGATTTATTTTAAAGGATTTTTAATGAAGATTAAGTATATCACAAAATTATTTTATAAAATATCCAAAATATGTCAACTTCCGGTTATCAATGTCAACCTAAATTATAGAATTTTCTTAATCTTTATTAAAAATCGTTTAAAATGAGTCCAAACACGATGGGGTTATCTCAAAAAATAAGCGAAATATTTAAATTTGTAATAAGTTGCTAACTTCATCTTGTAACAAAAACGTCAATTTTTATTGTATCTTCGTTGTTTATTAAGATAAATACGCCGTGTTTGGATTTATTTTAAATGATTTTTAATGAAGATTAAGTATATCACAAAATTATTTTATAAAATATCCAAAATATGTCAACTTCCGGTTATCAATGTCAACCTAAATTATAGAATTTTCTTAATCTTTATTAAAAATCGTTTAAAATGAGTCCAAACACGATGGGGTTATCTCAAAAAATAAGCGAAATATTTAAATTTGTAATAAGTTGCTAACTTCATCTTGTAACAAAAACGTCAATTTTTATTGTATCTTCGTTGTTTATTAAGATAAATACGCCGTGTTTGGATTTATTTTAAAGGATTTTTAATGAAGATTAAGGATATCTCAAAATTATTTTATAAAATATCCAAAATATATCAACTTCCGGTTGTCAATGTCAACCTCAATTATAGAATTTTCTTAATCTTTATTAAAAATCGTTTAAAATGAGTCCAAACACGATGGGGTTATCTCAAAAAATAAGCGAGATATTTAACTTTTTAATAAGTTGCTAACTTCATCTTGTAGCAAAAACGTCAATTTTTATTGTATCTACGTTGTTTATTAAGATAAATACGCCGTGTTTGGATTTATTTTAAAAGATTTTTAATGAAGATTAAGGATATCTCAAAATTATTTTATAAAATATCCAAAATATCTCAACTTCCGGTTGTCAATGTCAACCTCAATTATAGAATTTTCTTAATCTTTATTAAAAATCGTTTAAAATAAGTCCAAACACGATGGGGTTATCTCAAAAAATAAGCGAGATATTTAAAATTTTTAATAAGTTGCTAATTTCACCTTGTAACAAAAACGTCAATTTTTATTGTATCTTCGTTGTTTATTAAGATAAAAACGCCGTGTTTGGATTTATTTTAAAGGATTTTTAATGAAGATTAAGGATATCTCAAAATTATTTTACAAAATATCCAAAATATATCAACTTCCGGTTGTCAATGTCAACCTCAATTATAGAATTTTCTTAATCTTTATTAAAAATCCTGTAAAATGAGTCCAAACTCGATGGGGTTATGTCAAAAAATAAGCGAGATATATAAATTTTTAATAAGTTGCTAACTTCATCTTGTAACAAAAACGTCAATTTTTATTATATCTTTGTTGTTTATTAAAATAAATACGCCGAGTTTGGATTTATTTTAAAGGATTTTTAAAGAAGATTAAGGATATCTCAAAATTATTTTATAAAATATCCAAAATATGTCAACTTCCGGTTGTCAATGTCAACCCCAATTTTAGAATTTTCTTAATCTTTATTAAAAATCATTTAAAATGAGTCCAAACACGATGGGGTTATCTTAAAAAATAAGCGAGATATTTAAGTTTTTAATAAGTAGCTAACTTCATGTTTATACAAAAACGGGATTTCCAAGCAAGAAAAGGACATGGCAAAAATCGTTTTATTTGTATATTTGCTGTTTTGGATAACAAGAAATATGATGCAGTTCAAATTAGGTAGATGGAAAAATCTGCTCAGATTGAAACTTGCAAAAATTCAAGAAAAACTGGTTTTGCNTCCGGTTGTCAATGTCAACCTCAATTATAGAATTTTCTTAATCTTTATTAAAAATTGTTTAAAATGAGCCCAAACACGATGGGGTTATCTCAAAAAATAAGCGAGATATTAAAATTTTTAATAAGTTGCTAACTTCATCTTGTACCAAAAACGTCAATTTTTATTATATCTGTTGTTTATTAAGATAAATACGCCGTGTTTGGATTTATTTTAAAGGATTTTTAATGAAGATTAAATATATCCCAAAATTATTTTATAAAATATCCAAAATATATCAACTTCCGGTTGTCAATGTCAACCTCAATTTTAGAATTTTCTTAATCTTTATTAAAAATCGTTTAAAATGAGTCCAAACACGATGGGGTTATCTCAAAAAATAACCGAGATATCTAATTTTTTAATAAGTTGCTAACTTCATCTAGTACCAAAAACGTCAATTTTTATTATATCTTCGTTGTTTATTAAGATAAATACGCCGTGTTTGGGATTCATTTTAAAGGATTTTTAATGAAGATTAAGTATATCTCAAAATTATTTTATAAAATATCCAAAATATGTCAACTTCCGGTTGTCAATGTCAACCTCAATTATAGAATTTTCTTAATCTTTATTAAAAATCGTTTAAAATGAGCCCAAACACGATGGGGTTATCTTAAAAAATAACCGAGATATCTAATTTTTTTATAAGTAGCTAACTTCATCTTGTAACAAAAACATCAATTTTTATTGTATCTACGTTGTTTATTAAGATAAATACGCCGTGTTTAGATTTATTTCAAAGGATTTTTAATGAAGATTAAGTATATCTCAAAATTATTTTATAAAATATCCAAAATATGTCAACTTCCGGTTGTCAATGTCAACCTCAATTATAGAATTTTCTTAATCTTTATTAAAAATCGTTTAAAATGAGCCCAAACACGATGGGGTTATCTCAAAAAATAAGCGAGATATTTAAATTTTTAATAAGTTGCTAACTTCATCTTGTAACAAAA